TTTTGGTTTAAGGTTGCTGTTTACCATAACCCCCAAGTCCTTTTCGCGTTCTGTATGGCTAAGTTCTACGTTATTTAACTTATAAGTACTAGGGATGTGGACACTCCTGAGCTTCAGAACTTTGCATTTATCTACACTGAACTGCATCTGCCACCTTTCTGACCAGGAATTGAGTTTGTCTAAATCCTCCTGAAGTTCCGTGACAGAGTTGTTTGAATTAATTATCCTACCTATCTTCGTGTCATCGGTGAATTTGCTCATTTCACTAGTAACTCCCTCATCAAGGTCACTGATATATATTATGAACAACAACGGGCCAAAGACTGATCCCTGTGGAACGCCACTTGTTACAGATCCCCACTCAGATTTAACCCCATTTAAACATACTCTCTGCTTCCTATTGGTGAACCATGACTCAATCCATGACAGCACTTTTCCCCCAATGCCATGAGCTGCCCCTTTCTTTAACAGTCTCTGGTGCGGTACTCAATCAAAAGCCTTACTAAAATCTAAATAAACAGTATCGAATTCTTTATCACTATCAACTGCCTCTCAAGCTTTACTGAGGTTAATAAAATAGTTATGCAGGAATGGCCTCTCGTGAATCCATGCTGAATATCATTAATCAAATTATGCTTATCCAGATGGCTTCTTATATAATATCAGCTGTAACTGACTAGTAATTTGCCTACAATTGAGGTCAGGCTTATTGGGCAGTAATTTGATGGTAATGACTTGTCCCCTGCTTTAAAAATAGGAATTACATTAGCCATCTTCCACATATCAGACACTACACCTGTCTGAAGAGAAATATTAAAAATATTAGTCAATGGTTCACACAGTTCCATTTTGCACTATTTAAGAACCCTTGAAAAAAGTTCATCAGGGCCCGGTAATTTATTTTGCTTCAATCGGTCTATCTGCTTGATAACCATTTTGCTAGTGACTGTGATACTGCATAATTTATCTTCTTCAGGCCCACTAAAAAACCTAATTATTGGTATATTATTAGTGTCTAACTGAGTAAAAACCTAGAGAAAATAATTATTAAAAAACAGCACATTTCATTCTCCTTGTCAGTAAGATGCCCCGAATTATTTTTAAGGGGACCTATATTATCTCTAACTTTTGTTCTATAAACCTGGAAAAAACTTTTTGGGTTAGTTTTCGAATCCCTAGCAACTTTAATTTCGTAGTCCCGTTTAGCTTTTCTAATCCCCTTTTAACGTCCCTCTTAACGTTAATACATGTATACTGATTTATAAGATGACCCTCACCTCTTTTGATGCACCTATAAATTCCTTTTTTCTGTCCTAAAAGATATTTGAGCCTATTATTCATCCATTTTGGGTCATTTCTATTCAATCTAATTTCTTTATATGGGATAAATGTTCTTTGGGCAGCATGTATAATGTTAAGAAAGCTGTCATACTGATAGCTCTCTTCGTTACCCCAGTCCACAGATGATAAGTGTTCTCTAGGGCCATTGTAATTTGCTAAGCGAAAATCTGGGACCATTACTGAACTATCCCTACTATCATACTTCCATTCAATGCTAAAGGTAATTGATTTGTGATCACTTATGCCTAGTTCCTCTGTAATTTCTAAATTATTAACAAGGGTTTCCTTGTTTGCCAGAACCAAGTCAAGCAGGTTATTTTCCCTTGTAGGTTCTGACACAAACTGCTTCAAAAAACAATCCTGAACTACTTCTAAGAAGTCTTTAGATTCTAAATTCCCAGTCAAGAAATTCCAATCAATCTGACTAAAGTTAAAGTCCCCTAGAATTACTCGTTATCGCGCCTTGTGGCCTTAACAATTTCCTCTCATAGTAGTCTCTCTTGGTCTCTATCTAAGTTTGGGGGATGGTATATCACTCCTAGAATAAATTTTTTTTGTGTCCATCTGAAAATTCTATCCAGACAGACTCTCTGTGTGTTACTTCAGACTTAATACCCGTTTTTATGCAACAGTTCGAGCGATCTCGGACATACAGTGCCACCCCACCCCCCTTCCCGATACTTCTATTTACTTGGAACAATTTAAAACCCTGAATGTGACATTCAGCAGGCATGTCTCAATTTTTCGAATTAAACCATGTCTCAGTTATAGCAAATACATCAATGTTATCTGCACTAGCAACTAATCTCAACTCGTCCATCTTATTCCTAGCACTACGACTGTTAGTTTAATATATATTTAAAAACCCTCCTCTCTCTTTACCCTTTCTGCTCATTTCCATTTTTCCACTAAACCTATTACTGTCCTTGTCACCTTAGTGCCACTGGCTTTGAAATATCCATCTCATTCTGCCTATTACTAGTTCCCCTAGAACTTATGATAGTACTACACAGGGACTTCAATGTTTTCCCACCAAAACCCACTGCGTTGGCCAGTGCTCCCACCCCAAACCTTGATAAGTGAACCCCATCCCTGGCATACATGTCATTTCTGCCATAGAAGAGGGACCCAGTTGTCTATGTTACTGAATTTTCCTTACCGTGTTTGTCCAGCCAGCAACTGACACCAATTGCCCTGGAAAACCATTCATTTCCAACTCCTCTCCTTGGCAAAATGCCACATATCACAGGGTTCCCACCCTTCTTCCTAATAATGTCTACTGCTGCCTTATACATTCTAACTAAATCCTCACTTCTACGCTTTCCTACATCATTGCCTCCAGCACTGAGGCAGATAACAGGATTGGTCACATTACCATTCATGATGTTGTCAGGCCAGTTAACAATATCCCCCATCCCAGCCCTAAGAAAGCAAGCCCTGTCTCCTACTCCTATCCTTCAAGCAGAAGGCCCTATCCATATACCTAACTTGGCTATCCCCAACAACAACGTTTTTACCTTCCTTGGAGTCGTTCATCATGATGTTCTCAGTAGTCGACTCACATTCGTCTGGTAGCACAGAAAAGGAGTTCAAAGTTTCCACAGCAGTCTCTTTCTTCTTTGTTTCTACCTCTCCATTCATCTTCTTGATCTTCAACTTCGTTCCATGCTGTCCAGCCACTGCCCAGGTTCCCTTCTTGACCTAAGGACTCACTAAAGGAGAACTATAAATTCTCTTGTTCTCTGTCAATCGCCGTATTTCGAGCTTCGCTACCCTCAATTCCTCCATAAGCTGCTGTTAAAGCTGCTCAATGGAGGGCATCTTGGTTCAGTCCAGAGGGAGTACACTAGACACGTCTTCACTGAGCTAAGTACAGGTCACCGCTCAAAATGTCCAAACCACTTCCATAACCCTTCCTCAGCACTGGAATGCTTTTATTAATCCTGCCCATTCTTCTAACCTCCAAACTACGAATTCCTTGCATAATATTCACGTCAAATATTGTCTTCGGACACAACATCTCCACTGCCTCCAGCCCCCTCCTCACTGCAACATTTAAAACCCATGCTTCACATACGTATGCAAGGTGCTACCAAAAAGTTCCCCGACTCAAATTTTCCTGCACTTCCTGGGTGAAATATAGTGGGACATAGATCATGCTATGCAGTGCACATCTTTGTGAAATAGTGTGACGTGTGTCAGTTTGGTCAGTCATTCCGTTGAGGTTAGACTACCATTTTTTTTGTCGTGCTGCCAATGTGCTGCTGTAATTTTTTGTGTATCGGAAGGAAATCTTTGAAAGAACAGTGCGTGCATATGTACTCACCTAACTGTGGTTGCATGGGTTGAGTCACAGCTCCTGGCCCTGCCTCTTCCCACTCCAAGAGCAGACCCTGCCTCCACTACATCACTTCCCAGACTATTCCACTTCCTGACAACTCTGTGACTTCCTGACATCCCTGTGGTTCATCTGAGTCTTCAACTCCCAACTGTGACCCCTTGTTGCTGTGTCCCATCTCTGGAACATCCTGTCTCTGTCCACCTTGTCGATTCCTCTCAGTATTTTATATGTCGTTATCATATCCACCCATCTCTCCTGATAGTTATTAACATATTTGTGGTTGAGTGAAACATTTAGAAATATTTCAAGATATGGCAGAGACACTGGGATCAGTGTGTAGCCCTCCAAGGAGAGTACTTCAGGTTAGACACATTCAACTAGGTGATTAGGTAAGCCTAAATTTTTTTTTGCAGCAGCAGCATCTGGGAACTTTTTGATAGTTCCTCATAGGAGTGTTGGTACCACTATACGTACTCTGATACATTCATCTGTCTGCCTCCATGGATAACATTCTTTGTCATCACAGATGCCTCAATGCACCACATCTTTTTCCCTCTCGTCAATTCTATGGTTTACCTCATCTTTCACAGACCCGTCCACTGACAAGTGCACTCCCAAATATCTTAATGCATTCACTTCCTCGATACTCTCTCACCTGCCAATCTGACATCCAATCTTTCTTTACCTAAATTTTTTGTTACTCTTAGTAACAAAATTTTTGATAATTATAGCAAGAAGTATTTAAAAGCACATTTGTAATAACGGGGTAACATATTTGTAATAGTAATATTATATAAAGGGATTCAGAGAAAACGGTTAGCCAGAATTGACTCCTGGAGGTGGAAAGTACAATGCCTGCACTTTAAAGGAGGCTGTTTTGAGTGACATCTAGACTGTCATATTTGCATGCCTCTGCAAAGACAGTGATAAGTGTGAATGATGGAGATTTTTTTTTTTTTTTTTTTTGGGGGGGGGGGGGTCACCCTGCCTCAGTTGGAGATGACCAGTGGGTTAAAAATATATATACAGTGGTATCTCGGGATACGAACAGCTCAAAACTCGAACAATTATGTAAGTATATTTATGCAAGTGCTTTTATAAGTGTGTTTTTGGGGGGTATGAAACAGATTAATCTAATTTACATTATTCCTTATGGGAACAAATTCATTTGGTATCGGCACTCAAACAGCCTTCTGCAACGAATTAAGTTCGTATCCCAAGGTACCACTGTATATATAATAACAATAATGACAGTGAGTTTATTAATAATTACCTTAATACAAAATCAAATTTACTAAATGGGTGTTAAAGAACGTACCCAGAAGATGAAGATGCAACAAAGCGATGATGTGTTTGGGGTGCTAAGGACACTACAGGCCAAGACTGTCTACTGCCACGACGTACACACAGCCATTCCCCGTGAGGTGCCCAGTCCAGCCCTCTTAATAACCACTGTTCAAATAAACTGCAAATACAGAGTTGTCCTTACTCTACAGGTTTTGAAAGACCACTCGACTACAGACTCATGTTATTTTTTGTTTATTTATATACAAACATATTACAATACAGGTAGGCAGTAGGTTGGTAGACAGCAACAGCCCAGGGAGGTACTACCGTCCTGCCAAATGAGTGTAAAACGAAAGCCTGTAATTATTTTACATGCTGGTAGGATTGCTAGTGTCCTATTTTCTGTCTCATGAACATGCAAGATTTCAGGTACGTCTTGCTACTTCTACTTACACTTAGGTCACTACACATACATGTACAAGCATATATATACACACCCCTCTGGGTTTTCTTCTATTTTCTTTCTAGTTCTTATTCTTGTTTATTTCCTCTTATCTCCATGGAGAAGAGGAACAGAATTCTTCCTCCGTAAGCCATGCGTGTTGTAAGAGGTGACTAAAATGCCGGGAGCAAGGGGCTCGTAACCCCTTCTCCTGTATAGATTACTAAATTTAAAAAGAGAAACTTTTGTTTTTCTTTTTGGGTCACCCTGCCTCAGTGGGATACGGCCGGTTTGTTGGAAAAAAAAAATTACAGTACAGTTGTCTAAGATATTTATCTGTTCCAGAAGATGTATTGTACCTCCAAACTATTGTACCTCAAACACCAAAGTGTATGCTTTTATGTTAACTGGTTCCAAGACCCTGGAAGTGCAACTTTACTGTACCTTGCAAACTTTGAGATATAACTTGTAGGCACTGTTTCTCCTTTCATCTGCTTCTCAATTATGTACATATATGTACAAGTCTTTTCATCTTTAAAATAATTTATCTGCCTTTTTCCACAAGCCTAGATTGGTTAGCCACTATAATATTCTTTATTGTTTCTTTTTGCTTGATAATAGCAGAGATGGTAACTGGTAAGTAACATTCATGCACCAATGAACTAATTTCTTGCTTGATCTTCAAAGAAATGCCCTATTTACTGTGCACTTTAGGGGCACCATAAATGGACAGTTTAGGCTATTTTATAAATTCTATACATCTTTGCTTTAGCAACAAATATGTTATGAATTATAATTCCGAAGAGAATTTTTTTCCATTCAGACCATAAGAAATATGACATTTAGTGTTTCAAGTATCTTGAAAGTAAACTTGCAGTACAGTACTGTAAAGTGTGCAAATAACCTGCAATAATCTGTTCATTAATTACATTTCCAGGGTTTACACATGAATTCTATTTTGATTTTTTATTCACAAAAAGAATTTTTATTCACATACATAAAAAATAGAAGATTTACTGTTATGCAATACTGTAATAACTGCATAAATAATATCAACATATTCATGAACGCATATTAGACCCACCAGTTGACGTGTACTGGATGCATGACATGATTTGTTTACTCTTGAACATCGCCAAAAATCAAACATTTCCACTACTTTGAGCTCAATTTCAAGCTATTTTCAGTCCTAAAACCAATCAAAATCATCTCTATTTCTGTAATATATTTTCCATTTTATCAAATAAGGTCAAGATAACCAAGAATACAACCATAAAAACCATATGAAAATACACCATAAAGTTGCTATTTTAAACCAAAAAGTTTATTTGTTCTCATTATGCACTGCGTGCTGCAGGATTTCTTTATATGGTGCACACTTACTGCACTGACCCATTCTCTCATATTTAGGCAAAAATTTGCCACTCACAGCTTATCTGAGCGAGGAGAGATCATCATGTAGTACCGTGGCACGGCCAGTGAACTCAAAGCCGTAGTACTATGGCACAGTCAGCAAAAGGGTTAATGGTACAAGTCAGACCAAAATGTCATCATACGTTTCAGTCTCCTGAGTGCGAGCTATCTGTGTATTGTTCCAGTCATGGTACTGTACCTTTTTATTCTTTCTCTAAAGTGTATACTATACAGTGGTTGCTAATAGTGGAAACAAGATTAATAAATGCTCAGGATGTATTATAACAGATATTCAAACTTCAGATAAACAGTAACTTAAGTGACTTGACTTACCCTTTTTGGAAAGAATTCTTCTTACTTAGATAACCAGATCTATAGCAATTATTTGTGTCCATTGCCACTGACAAGAGGTCATGCTCACCCCTACAAGAAAGAGAGTGATATCACTGAAAAATTATGCTATTAAGTTAAACTACTGATCTTCAGTGAGATATACATTATAAGCACAGGCACAAAATACAATAAAATCTCTGGATTAATTGCCAGTTTGGTCACAATTAACAATCACTATCTCAACTACCAAACTGTGTTAATCATAAAATTCCAAACTGTGTTAACAACAAATATATAACTTATATTAGTATTAGCTAGCATTCAGTCCTACATTATCTACCCAAATATCATGCCTAGCCATGGGCTTGAAAAGAACAAAATATACAAATTACTGTTTATCCAATATTGCAACAAGTAGTGAATTTTTTTAAATAAATTTATTTATTTGTCAAGTTGAGGTGTGAGGAGCAGCCTGCAGTTGATAAGACACCTATTGCTTAATTTCTTGTACTATTCCTTGAGAACATGATTGAGATATCATAATAGTGCTTAAATTTAATTCCTCTTCATTTCAAAATGGATAGATTGCATATAAAGTATCACTTATTCTTCTTTCTTTTTATCTATTTTAAATGGAATGACACTGCATAAAAAACATAGTAAAAATATTTAAAAACTACTACTACCTCTCTAGGTAACTCAGAAATTTAGCAGTTTTTTCTAAATTCTTAATTGGATTTTCAGGATACAATGGAATGGTATATGTAATAAGAATGTAATTCCACTTTTTGACTTCGCTTCAGGGACAAACACTCCATTAATAATCATCAACAATTAAGGAGCTACATTTCTAAATTTTATTATAAATTTTTTATGAACCTTTCTAAATGTTAAAAATTTCAAGCCAATATAAAGAGGCATTTCAAGATATCCTCCAAAAACATCAACAGACAAAATGGATATAAAAAGGGCAAACCATAAAGTTTACCTGGTCAGAGACGGTAAAGAGACTGTATTACAGTAAGTCTTACTTAGTATTAGTAACATGGGAAGTGAAAGAATTATTCCTCCATAAGCCATGTGTGTAGTAAGAGGTGACTAAAATACTGGGAGAAAGGGATAGAAACCCCTTCTCCTGTATAAATTACTAAATTTAAAAAGAAAAAACGGAAGTTTTTCTTTTTAGGTTACCCTGCCTTGGTGGGATACGGCTGGATTGTTGAAAAAAAAAATTAGGACAATAAAGATCATTAATCTGCCATGTCTTTGTTAAAGTATTGAAATATGGAGAGAACTAAGCAAATTATTAACTTACTTTTCTCCTTGTACAGATGTACCAATAATAAACCCAAGAGATCTTACAACATCCACAGAGAGAACACCAGCAGATTTCATAAATCCTAGGAGTTCTCTGGGTGTACGTTTGTCACTTGATTTCTTCTTTTTCTCAGTATCTTCAACTTGAAGATGCTGCAGAAGAGAAAACATTTGAGAAATGAGGTTCAAACCAAACTTTTTTATTTTAATAATCATCAACCTACATACAATATTTACCAACAAATACCTTATAAGCAAATTTTGAAATCAGCATCAATATTTAGCAACTCAATCTAATCTTCTCTTAATTTTATATTACATATTTATTACATACAGGTAGTAGGCTGGTAGACAGCAACCGCCCAGGGAGGTACTACCATTCTGCCAAGTGAGTGTGAAACGAAAGCCTGTAATTGTTTTACATGATGGTAGGATTGCTGGTGTCTTTTGTCTGTCTCATAAATATGCAAGAATACAGGTACGTCTTGCTACTTCTACTTACACTTAGGTCACACTACATATACATGTACAAGCATGCATATATATACACACCCCTCTGGGTTTTCTGCTATTTTCTTTCTAGTTCTTGTTCTTGTTTATTTCCTCTTATCTCCATGGGAAAGTGGAACAGAATTCTTCCTCCATAAGCCATGCGTGTTGTAAGAGGCAACTAAAATGCCGGGGGCAAGGGGCTAGTAACCCCTTCTCCTGTATATATAACTATATGTAAAAGGAGAAACTTTCGTTTTTCCTTTTGGGCCACCCTGCCTCGGTGGGATACAGCCGGTGTGTTGAAAGAAAGAAAGATTTATTGCATACAGGTAGTAGGTTGGTAGACAGCAACCACCCAGGGAGGTACTACCGTTCTGCCAAGTGAGTGTAAAACGAAGGCCTGTAATTGTTTTAAATGATGGTAGGATTGCTGGTGTCTTTTGTCTGTCTCATAAATATGCAAGATTACAGGTACATCTTGCTACTTCTACTTACACTTAGGTCACACTACATATACATGTACAAGCATGCATATATATACACACCCCTCTGGGTTTTCTGCTATTTTCTTTCTAATTCTTGTTCTTGTTTATTTCCTCTTATCTCCATGGGGAAGTGGAACAGAATTCTTCCTCCATTAGCCATGCGTGTTGTAAGAGGCGACTAAAATGCCAGGGGCAAGGGGCTAGTAACCCCTTCTCTTGCATAAATTACTAAATTTAAAGAGAGAAACTTTCGTTTTTCTTTTTGGGCCACCCTGCCTTGGTGGGATGCAGTCTGTTTGTTAAAAAAAAAAAAAAAAAAATTACACTTTAACCTAAGTTTACCTAGGTAAGACCATGTTAAGTTTAGTAAGTATTATTCAGCATACAGTAAATGAGCTACTTTACAGAACTGTAGAATATATTAATAAACACTTAATGTGTACAAGAACTAAGCTATCACCTCAAAATCACCTTTGGAATTTTAGTAAAAGTTAATTGGGTACAAAAAAATAGTAAACATGCTGACATGTTAAAAAATTATAGGGAAGACCAGTGAAGCAATGCCAGAGTCAGCAAGGAAATAGAATGTCTCTATCTCCTCTCTTAAAATATAAGTGTATGTAATATAACAGGGCAGCAGCAGCTAGCATGAGACTTGACCACATACCTTCCTTAATTTTACTATCTAACTAAACTAGCTACTACCTTGCCTAACCCAGCAAGGTTTGGAGACTCTCTAAACCATACGATATGTTTCGGCAGTCAGTAGGTGTCACATGCCAACATCACAAGCTGTGCCAAAAAGGAAAAATCATGGCAGATACACACAACACTCACACCAGCTAATAAACTGAGAAGTTCTGGGAGTGCTTCTCGTACAAATTCAGCGTGCTTTTCTTCTAGTAACTGCTTCCTGGCTGCCGTCCCAGAAGTATTGTTATTTGGCCATCTGCATTATGTGATTAAGGAAAATTAAAAGAAAGTATTCACTTTTGTATGGAACTATTATATTTAACAGGTTAGACAAGTACATGGGTGAGTGTGACTTGGGCCTGCCTAACATGGACCAATACACCTGCTGCAGGGCTCCTTTCATATGTTCTAATATTCTGTGTGCATTTTTTCTTGCAAATTAATTCTTGAAGATAATTAAATACATAATTCTACAAACGAGGTGACTAAAACACCAGGAGCAAGGGGGTTAGTAACTACTTCTCCTGCATAAATTACTAAATTTAAACAAAAAAATAAACTTTCATTTTTCTTTTTAGGTCACCCTGACTCAGTGTGATATGGCTGGTTTGTTAAAAAAAAAAAAAAATCTACAAATCTCAGCCCCCCCCCCATTACCTTAACCCTTTCAGGGTCCAAGGCCCAAATCTGGAGTCACGCACCAGTGTCCAAGAATTTTCAAAAAAAAAAATTTGTTATTTTTTCTTATGAAATCGTAGAGAATCTTTTTGTGAAGGTAATAAAACAAAAAGTACGAAATTTGGTGGAAAATTGACGAAATTATGCTCTCGCGAATTTTGATGTGTCAGCGATGTTTACGAATCGGCGATTTTGCCGACTTTGACTCCCATTTTAGTCCAATTACATTATTCCAATCTACCAAATTCTTAGCTATTTCACTAGTATTACTTCTACTCTATCGATTGAGCGCAAGAAATCGCCAAGTCAACTGTTTCAACTACAAAATAAAGTGATCGGAAATTGTTAATTTGGCCAATTTAACACAAAGTTCAAAATATTCCAATTTCAAAATAGGGTCCAGAATAAACAATGTAGGCATTCCTGGCACTAAACTAACATTTCCTCTGTTCATTAGTTATGTTTTGAGGCTTTACAAATAAATTCCATTTTGATTTTTTATTCACATAATGAATTTTTATTCACACCAAAAAATAGAAGATTTACTGTTATGCAATACTGTAATAATTGTATAAATATCATCACCATATTTGTGAATGTATATTAGACCCACCAGCTGGCGTGTATTAGATGTGTGAGGTCGTTTGTTTACTCTTGAATATCGGCAAAAATTTAACATTTCCGCTACTTTGAGCTCAGTTTCAAGCCATTTCCAGTGCTAAAACCAATGAAAATCATCTCTATTTTTGTAATATGTCTTCCATTCTATCAAATGAGACCAAGAAATCGCAAATACAACTATAAAAAACATACGAAAAAACACTGCAAAGTTGCTGTTTTAATCGAAAAATCATGATTTCATTTTTTTTCTCTCATTATACACAGTGTGCTGCAGGATCTGTTTTATGTGGTGCACACATACCACATAGATGTATTCTCTCATATCTAGGCCCAAATGTACCACTCACAGTTTATCAGAGTGAGCTGAGCTCATGGCGTAGATCTACGGTTTGGACACTCACCGTAAAGCCGTAGATCTACGGGACGGACCCTGAAAGGGTTAAGCTAGACATATACTTTATTACAAGGACAGGTACAATATAAGTTGAAGGAATTGTTCAGCATAATTAATTGTTGTTAACTCTTAAACCCACTTCTCTGTACATATGCTGTTTTTAATGTTTCATTACAACTTGAATTCTTTGTGGCTTGTTATTACTTACATTAAATTCCATCATCATCCGTCTCTTACTCCACTTTTAAAAACTGCTGAAACAGAGTACATTACCATTTTAGATTTTTAATTATCAAATGAAAAATTTGTTAAAGCTGCCTCTAGCTAAATTAATTTAAAAGACCTTATAGTATAGCACAGCATTAACTAGTCGAAAACTATTAATTGGTATGGAGATTGACCGATTTTTTAAATGGGAAATATTACTACAAACACAGAGCATCACCTATAAAACTCCTGTAACGCAATGAAATCTGGTGTAGCAAGAGGTAGAAAAGGATACGGGTCAGTAGTTAGAGTATGAAGAGAGGTTTGTCTTGCGATGGCTCGAGGGTGAGCACTGGTAACTCGATGAAGATACAACACAATTATCAGTTCCATTGTCCAAACTTCCACACACCCCATGACCTCATCTGAAGAAATAAAATATACATTTACTGTAAAGTATTGGAAACATTCTGAAGAATGACCTTTATAATAAACAACTATATGAAACATTACTAAAAAATAAGATTATTTGCAACTCTAAAGGCCCTTCTTAACCTTTCTGAACTAGACACTACATTCCATAAAGTGGTTTCTAATTTAAGGATTCTTGCATTAAAACCAGAATGAAAGAGCATACATGGGGCAATAGTTTAAAATCTGAAAATAAATTAGGGTACTGTATTGTGCAAGCATAAAGAAGACATAATTAGCCTATACTTGCTGACTGGTTTGAGTGAAGCTGGCTAAGAAAAAGCAAATATGTATGTGAAGATCTTATGTACAGTATGACTCCGAAAATCTTTACTACGAAAATCCAAAAAAACTCAAGAGAATCTGAAACTGGCCTATATATTTCCCTATTGATAAAATCAAATTAATAAAAAGTATTGGAATTGAGCAAACTTTTGATCTGCAGTGGCCAGAGCATCTTTTTTTTATACACAGCTGTTATCTTACCTCAGCTCATTTCAAAGCCCAGCACTATCTGACGTATACTACCACCCCCCTGGGGATGCAACCTACAATAGTAGACTAACATCCAGGTAACTACTTACTGCTAGGTGAGCAGAGGCAGAAAGTGTAAGGAAATATGCCCAATGTTTCCACCAGTGTCGGGGATTGAACAACAGACCCTCATTATGTGAAGTGAGCGCACTACCAACCAAGCCATGGGACGTGCCTGCTATTTGGATATTGGTGTATTTCTTCAGTTATTTTGCACAAAATTTTACTCTCAGAATGGCTTGAAGACCAGAGAGTTGCAAGTGCTTTATAAAAGTATATAACACTGTATTGAAACCTCAGCTGTGCAGGATGTAATAGCCATGAAAAACTTTTCTTTTTAATTTCTATGCAGACACTATCAGATAAGGCTTACAGCAAAGAAAAAAAAGTTTTGCAAGCTTAAATATGAGGAGTTAGATAAGGTTTTAAAATAGAAATACAGTAGTGTTGAGAAACTGGCTGAAAATATACTGTAGTAGTAATATATATATATATATATATATAAGAAAGCAAGGCTTTTCAAAAGAAGATGGATTTTAAAGAGCTGCATAACCTCTCACATGGTTGGTTATGTAATTATAAGCTCAGGCATGGAAACAAACAGCTTTTTATTAGTGCTGAGAAATAGTCAGCTGAGGCACATTCAGCTGATATATACTTTACCAGGATATTTTTAGTGATTTAATGGAAGAGTGGGCTTAGTGCACCATTATTCTACAACAATCACATCCTTTAAGCAAGGTGCATAGCATAGTTTTAAGTACCCTGGACCATACAATATTTACATGTTATTGTAGGCAGGATTTTTTTTTTTACATTATGGTTATTTTCTCAGCGCCAACTCCAACTTTCTCAAAAATCCATACTTCTGAAGAGGTTCAGGTCCCGACCATTTTGAATTTTTGGAGTCATACTGTAATATAGAAAAATTTACTAGAAATGGCACAATTTAAAAAAAAAAATACTTTAATGTTCATCACACAACAAACAATCATTTACAAGAATTATATAATTTAGGCAGCAGTATTATTTGTTGACCTATCATAATATTGCAGAACACCATAGCTCTACAAACTCTTAAAACTTTTTACAAGCACAACTAATAACTTTAAATGTATCATACTGTACTACATAACTTAATTTACCACTACAATACCTTTTAAACATATTTGCTTATCTGTAAATCCTGATATATGATATATATATTAAATCAAATCTAATTTTTTTTAACTCAATGACCATCTCCTACCATGGAAAGGTGACCCAAAATAGGAAAACACATTCACCAATATTCACTCAAATGCTCTTTCCAGAAGTGTACCAACCTCACAACAAGATTAACCTCCAATTACATCCCCACCCTTCTTCAGAGGGCAGGCACTGAACTTCCCACCTCCAGGACTTAAGTTCAGTTAACAGATATTCCTGAATACTTTCATAAAAATTACCTTGCTCACTCTCGACACTTTTAAAAATCACTTGACTCCATGCACTCTTATCTAGCATGCTTGCAGAAGCCTGCTGGATACTCAAGCCCTTAAAACTCAAAGTATCTTGTATGCCTCCCTCAAATTGTTCCTGAGGTGATTCTACCCTTCCTACCCTCCACTCCAAATTTATACATGGTGTTCATCAACCTATCCCTCTCCATCACCCTCTCTACATGCCCAAACCACTTCATCATCCCTTCCTCAGCCTTCTGAATTACCAATATACTGTTGGTCACCCACATCTTTTATTTTTCTATGCTCTGAATTCTCTGCATGATTTTCACACCATAAGGACATCCATAATGGTCATTTAGTGCTACATGGCAGCATTTTTATAATCCAGGGAAGCACCTTACTAGAGGGATCATATAGTGCATGGGGAATGGGAAGCAATCAGGTTTGATCCAAGGAAGGAGGATAAGTCTACTCCACCAGCATTAAGGCACTTGAGGGAGGGCTACATCAAATCAAATAAAATCAAATCAAAGTTTATTCTCTATAAGGATTACAATGCAGGGTTTACAGGTTTTGGTTATTGTGTGGTTTACATGTAGTAAAGTACTAATTACAGAGGGGGCCACTAGAACACCCAGCATGGCTAGGCATTTCGGGAAAATTTAGATTAATTCTTAACCCTAAATTATAACAAATTGTGGAGTAAGTTGACTAAATACTAAGTGACTAAATACTAAGTGACAAATACTAGTTTGTGAGTTTAGCAATGTGAATGCTTTTTTTTTGGCACAATACATAGTTTCTATACTGGAGTATCACACTCAAACTTATGACTAGTTAGGAATCATTATTTTAAGATTAGGATATGTATTTTTGTGCTTATAGTCAAATGGGTGAGTGAGTGAGTGAGTGTAATTGTGGACCACCAGGTGGTTTTTATGTAGTTAGTTGATGGGGTGTATCAGGGAGACAAGATGTTTTCTAACAGTAGTTTTGAAGGTGATGAATGTGTCTGCTGTTCTAGAGTTTTCAGGTAGAGTGTTCCAGATTTTAGGGCCTTTGACATACATTGAGTTTTTGTAAAGGTTTAGTCGGACACGGGGAATGTCGTAGAGATGTTTGTGTCTGGTGTTATGCCTGTGGGTCCTGTCACAACTATCAAGAAAGCATTTTAAGTCAAGGTTAATACTGGAATTTAAGGTCCTGTATATGTAGATTGCACAGTAGTAAGTGTGGATGTTCTGAACAGGGAGTAAGTTTAGATCTATGAAGAGTGGGGGGGGATGTGTTGCCAGGGATGGGAATTAGTAATTATTCTTATTGTAGCTTTTTGTTGAGTTATTATTGGCTTTAGGTGTACTGCTGCAGTTGATCCCCAAGCACAAATAGCATAGGTGAGGTATGGATAAATGAGTGAATGGTATAGTGTGAGAAGGGCATTTTGTGGCACGTAGTATCATATCTTGGAGAGGATCCCAACTGTTTTGGATACTTTTTTTTGATGTGTGTTAGATATGGGTGCTGAAATTCAGGTTGTAGTTGAGGTATAGGCCTAGGAATTTGCCCTCATTATGTCTGGCAATTAGAGTGCTGTCGATCTTAATGTTAAGTTGTGCAGCACCTGCTCTGCTACCAAACATAATAAAGTAGGTTTTGTCAGTGTTAAGTGTAAGTTTATTGGCTGCCATCCAAGTTGATATTTTGAGCAGCTCCTCATTAACAATGGTGTTGAGGGTGCCAAGATTAGGGTGAGAGATGACATAAGTCGTGTCGTCAGCAAAGAGAATGGATTTCAGGTGTTGGGATACGTTTGGAAGATCACTGATGTAAATGAGGAAGAGCAGGAGTCCAAGGACACTTCCCTGCGGAACTCCAGTATCAAGTGGCCGAGTTGATGATGCTGTGTCTTTAATGGTGACATACTGATACCTATCAATAAGGTAGGATTTGAAATATGCAAGCGCATGGCCTCTTGTACCATAATGGTCAAGTTTGTGGAGTAGGATGCCGTAGTCTACTGTGTCAAAAGCTTTTCTTAGGTCAATAAAAATTCCTAGCGGATATTCCTTATTTTCCAATGCTGTGTAAAGCAGATCTAGCATTTTTACAATTGCATCATTAGTGCTTTTATTTTTCCTGAATCCAAATTGGCAGGGGATGAGTATGTTCTGTGCCGTTATAAATGAATACAGTCTCCTGTGCACGAGTTTCTCGAAGATTTTGGATAGCAATGGTAAGTTTGATATTGGCCTATAGTTGTTTACATCTGTAGGGTCACCACCTTTATGTATGTATGAGGTGAAAGTGATGATAGAGGGAGAGAGATGGTGGTGTTGTGGGAAACACAGACAGAATAGAGAGGGGATCATAGCTTGTGTAGGAAATCAATGTCAATTTGAATAGTACGGAGCATCCCTATGAAGAAATGACCTAAGTGTAATTCTCCAGAGGACCTAGCATGGTTAACTGTCTACAGGAAGGTACACTACCCTCAATGTGCAGCATATTTATGTCTCCAGAAGGCAACTTACTGGAAAATAGGCATAAGGCTACAATAAAAATATGACCTGGTCATCATACTCATAATCTTTACAACCCTCATGATGAGCTCTAAATTTCCATGAGCTGCCAGTGCTGGAGACCCTGACACACCTCAGGAATCATGGTACCTAGTTTAGGGAGGACTCTAAATAAACTTACAGTTAATACTGACAAAAACCTTTTACATTATGTGTGGGAGCAGAGCAGATGAGGTCCAACTTAACATTATGCTTAACAATACCTTTATTGTTAAACATAATGAGGGAAAATTTCTGGGTCTGTATCTTGACAGCAACTTGAAATTCAACACCCATATCCAACATGAAAAAAGTATCCAAAACAGTTGGCATCCTCTCAAAGATACATTACTATGTAACACAAACAGCACTACTTACACTATACTATTCACTGATCTACCCCCTACCTCACCTATGCTATTTGTGCCTGGGGATCCACAACAGCAAATCACCTAAAACTAATAATAACCCAACAAAAAGCTGCAGTGCGAATGATCACACAGTCCATTGCTAGACAACACACCCCCACTCTTCAAAGACCAAAACCTACTTACACAAAACATTCACTCATACTACTGTGCAACCTACATTTACAGAACAATAAATTCTAATATAAATCCCAACCTGAAGCATTTTCTTGATAGTTGCAACAGGACTCACAGACATAATACTAGGCACAAAAATCTCTATGATATTCCATGTCCAGCCAAAGCTCTTAAAAAATTCAATGTACATAAAAGAGACCAAAGTCTGGAACTCTCTGCCAGAAATCTCCAAAACCACTGACTCAGCCAGCATTTTCAAAACTACCATTAAAAAAACACCTTATCTCCCTAACCTATCCCAGCCCCAAATAAATATGTAAAAGCTATACATGCATTTGCTCAATGTCACGAACATAGGTGGAACCTCGGTTTTCGTTTTTAATTTGTTCCAGAGAGTCTGACGAAAACCAAATTCGACGAAAACTAAAACAATATTTCCCACAAGAAAAAATGTAAATCCAATTAATCCATTCCAGACACCCTAAAATATTAACAAAAAATACATTTTATAGAGTATAACTATAGTGTTACAGCTCTTCAGTGGTTAGCTGTTCCCTGTGGTTGTCCACCAACTCTTCCACATCCTGGCCACTCACATCCAACCCCATGGACTTCTCCAAAGCCACAATAGAGTCTACAACAGGCATAGGGTTGTCATGCTTACAATAACTTATATTAAGTTAGTATTAGAACTAGGCATTAAAAAACACAATAAAAAGTAAAATACATACATAGTACATTCATTACTTACCTTAAAATATTTGTAGTCTTAATGTAGGACGAGAGGTGAGTAGTACTTATTTGTAGGAAGTCAGGTGTAGGTAGCCGGTAGATGTAGGTATGTAGTCCGACTGGGCTACATACCTGCACCTACCTACATAGCTACACAATATTTAATGCGGCCCAGAGCCATATTATTACCACCGACATATTGTGTTCACTGAGTTTAATCGTTTCTAACTACTACCTTTAGATGCCATCATAAACAAAGGGAGAAGTAATGAATAATTCATGCTGAGAATTGTAAACAAAAGCATTACATATTAAAGGAGGTAACTGAGCCAATGCAGATTCATACACGTTTTCCCTGGTGCTGAACCAGAGAAAACATAATGTTTTCCATCCACCCGACTACCACCCCTCCATAGCATATAAACATTGCATGTATATATGCTATGTAATGTGTTTCTTATATAATTTTGAAGTAAATATCATAGATGGATAAATGCAAATGTCTATATTAACATAAAATAAGACATTTAATGTGCCCAAGAGTGATTATTATTATGTATTAGTATTATTACTATGGTGTTAAGATTAGAGGGACACTCTTAGTGATTTTAATGTTTACCTGCACGAAAACCAAGGTGACAAATGAAAACTGGGACAATATTTTGACGAAAAAAGTCGTCAAAAACCGAATTCAACGAAAACCAGGGCAAACGAAAATCAAGGTTTCCCTGTATACTTACTCTCAATGTCTATAATCCTCTTAAACATTAAACAATCCATTGTATACGCTTTAAGTTAATAAAAAATTGACCTAATTTGCCCGAAATGTTCTGCATAACAAGCAGCTTTCTATATAGTATTTTGTCATTGATATCAGCTAGGCCTGTATACCTTGTACATGTACTTGTAGAAATAAAGATATTATTATTATTATTATTATTACATGTATTATTTATTATATCTTCAGCAGATCGTGTGTGTAAGCACATAAAAGCACTCATGTTTTATTTCCTATTTTCACTGGTATTTTTCACATTTGCAATCATGTATTTTATTGTTGTGATTCCTTCCATGGTAATGGTATATCTTTATTTCAAAACGTTTTGCCTACATAGTAGTCTTTTTCAAAAGCTGTGATACAACAGGACTGACCCCAAAAAGGATTAATAGTGCATATAAAAAAAATTTAAATCACAGCTTATTTGGCTTAGAAAAACTGGAAATCAAAATAGATAACTGGCTGCTTTAGAGCCAATGTTGCCAACAGCACATCAGTTTTAGCCAATTTCTGCACATTGTAAAACAGTTTTTCTCAGTTTTGACTCATTTTAGCCTTAATCAATTTAAAAAATGCATTCTTTCAAACTGTAAGATTTTTTTTTTTTTCAAAATCTTTGCCATTCACAGGAATATTATTTTCCAGAAATGCCACAGTTAAGGGGTTAAGAAATGTAGATAAAAATAATTACTGTATGAGGTTCTGTTGGGTTGTGATGGTTGCCGCTGCTGCACTCATACCATACCTTCCTCCTCACCATTACCTTTCCACACTATAAACCCTGACACGTGCTATCCTTACCATAACAGCAGAGTCTTAAGTCAGATACACTGTGAGAGGGAGGGAGCAAGAACGAGAGGGTAAGGCTGTACAGCTGCCCTCCTTACATATCTGGCACCCAGTTCCTCCCACACCACACATTCAATTACAGCAGTAAGGAAGTGGTGAGAATAGGTTAAGAGTAGTGAATCAGTTGCAATTTGAGAGAGGTGTGAGCCATTCGTACAAATCTACTGCACTGAGCTGTACTGTATACACTCTTCCTTGCTTTATGTGGATTTGCTATCATTAATTCCACATATGCAATATTCTTCATCTTCTTTCAACAAACAGGCCATATCCCACTGAGGCAGGGTGGCCCAAAAAGAAAAATGAAAGTTTCTCTTTTTAAATTTAGTAACTTATACAGGAGACGGGGTTATTAGCCCCTTGCTCCCAGCATTTTAGTCGCCTCTTATAACACACATGGCTTACGGAGGACGAATTCTGTTCCACTTCCCCATGGAGTTAAGAGGAAATAAACAAGAACAAGAACTAGAAAGAAAATAGAAGAAAACCCAGAGGGGTGTGTATATATATGTTTGTACATGTATGTGTAGTGTGACCTAAGTGTAAGTAAAAGTAGCAAGATGTACCTGAAATCCTGCATGTTTATGAGACAGAAAAAAGACACCAGCAATCCTACCATCATGTAAAACAATTACAGGATTCTGTTTTACACTCACTTGGCAGGACAGTAGTACCTTCCTGGGCAGTTGCAGTCTACCAACCTACTACCTAGAACATATGCAATATATGGTTCACAAAGTTCAATGAAGATTCTGATGTCTAGATGTTGATGGCCTGACTGAACTTGGTATAGCCATGAAGGGCTTGCAAAGCAACCAGAGTATAAAATGAGGGATGCTGCATTGTATTATCCTTAAACAAAGTTTAATACTATTTGTAAGTGATAAATATGCTTAGATAAAAAATTTATGAAATTATATATGAAATATTATGGCCTAGGAACACATCTCTGATTATGTAGTGGGTGTCTATGAGAAAAATAATGTAGGTTCCAAGTTCTGAACACTTGACTTGAAACAATTTTCAGGAGTAAATGAGCATCCTAAATGGGGGACCTACTGTATATACATGAAACCACTCATGTCATTACTGTCAAACCATTTCATCAAAAAAATTAAAAACTTAATTACAATTCACCTCTGTCTTTTTGTGATGCAGCAGATGCAAGAGAAGCTTCTAGCTTGCGATCACGGCCAGGCCGTAGTTTGGAGAAGAGAAGACAAGAAAAGAAGACGACCATACTGCACTCAACACTTAGCCCCATCTGTGTGAAATATCAAAAAAGAAAATAGCCATGCCTGAGCTTCACAGTAACTGTTCCACAACATGTATTGTACAATACAGACTGCAGTCAGGGACAGGCTGCAGAAATTTTACCTCTAAAGTTAATAATTTAGCTTATACTGACTTGGGTTCATTTAGAAATAGTTATAGTAATAGCAAAAGAGATGAAAACTACTTTAATCCTTTAAAATTTTTATGTGCACTTTACAGTATACTGCCATTTGCACTATCTTGCTAAATGCTTATTACGATTTATGCTGAGTCACCTACAAAAATACAAATAAAAAGTCAGTAAGATGCCAAAAAATAGATCCTGCCCTGTAAAGTGTGACATTTTGCCTCATCGTTGAGCATGAAAGACCAAATTTATATTTTATGTTTGCATGTGTGTGTTTGTGTGGATACAATATGTAAATATGTAGACAGGGAAAAAATCGTACCCAACCACATGGCTGGATCACTATTCTTTCCAGTCATGTATTAAAGGAGACAGGGCACATCCCTTATGGAGGATCAAGCCTTTGATTTTCAAACAAATATTTGTGGTTTCTTCTTCATCAGCTCACCCTACCTTGGAGGGAGGCAGCTGTGGTGTTAAATGTATGTGGAGGGGAAGAAATACTTAGGGGAAAAAAAGGGGCAAACAAAATGAAGCTCTAGTAGAATGAAAGGATTATTAATAAATACGTATATTAAAAAGTGAAGAAGAGCAGGATGTGAATGTGGGGGAGGTGCGTGAGGCATTACGTAGAATGAAAGGGGGTAAAGCAGCTGGAACTGACGGGATCATGACAGAAATGTTAAAAGCAAAGGGGGATATAGTGTTGGAGTGGTTGATATTTTTGTTTAATAAATGTATGAAAGAGGGAAAGGTACCTAGGGATTGGCAGAGAGTGTGTATACTCCCTTTATATAAAGGGAAGGGGGACAAAAGAGATTGTAAAATTTATAAAGGAATAAGTTTACTGAGTATACCAGGAAAAGCGTACGGAAGGGTTATTATTGAAAGAATTAGAGGCAAGACAGAATGTAGGATTGCGGATGAGCAAGAAGGTTTTAGAGTGGGTAGGGGATGTGTAGATCAAGTGTTTACATTGAAGCATATATGTGAACAGTATTCAGATAAAGGTAGGGAAGTTTTTATTGCATTTATGGATATAGAAATAGCATATGATAGAGTGGATAAGGGAGAAATGTGGCAGATGTTGCAAGTATATGGAATAGGTAGTAAGTTACTAAACGCTGTAAAGAGATTTTATGAGGATAGTGAGGCTCAGGTTAGGGTGTGTAGAAGAGAGGGAGACTACTTCCCGGTAAAAGTAGGTCTTAGACAGGGATGTGTAATGTCACCATGGTTGTTTAATATATATATAGATGGGATTGTAAAGGAGTAAATGCCAGGGTGTTTGGGAGAGGGGTGGAATTAAATTATGGGGAATCAAATATAAAATGGGAATTGACACAGTTACTTTTTTGCTGATGAAAGTGATATGTCTAGCAAAGATTAGTTGATGAGTTTGGGAGGTTTGTCAAGGTAGAAAGTTGAAAGTGAACATAGAGGTATCAAATGATTTAGATAAAGAAAAATTGGATATCAAATTGGAGAGGAGGAGTAGTAAGAAGTGAATGTTTTCAGATATTTGGGAGTTGACGTGTCAGCGGATGGATTTATGAAGGATGAGGTTAATCATAGAATTGATGAAGGAAAAAAGGCAAGTGGTGCGTTGAGGTATATGTGGAGACAAAAAACTTTATCTATGGAGGCAAAGAAGGGAATGTATGAAAGTATAGTAGTACCAACACTCTTATATGGGTGTGAAGCTTGTGTTGTAAATGCTGCAGTGAGGAAGCAGCGGAGATGTCCTGTCTAAGGGCAATGTGTGGCGTGAATATTATGCAGAAAATTCGGAGTGTGGAAATTAGGAGGTATGGAGTTAATAAAAGCATTAGTCAGTGGGCAGAAGAGGGGTTGCTGAGGTGGTGTGGTCATTTAGAGAAAATGGATCAAAGTAGAATGACATGGAGAGCGTATAAATCTGTAGGGGAAGGAAGGCGGGGTAGGGGTCGTCCTCAAAAAGGATGAAGGGAGGGGGTAAAGGTGGTTTTGTGGGCGAGGGGCTTGGACTTCCAGCAAGTCGTGCATGAGCGTGTTAGATAGTGAATGGAGACAAATGGTATTTGGGACCTGACGAGCTGTTGGAGTGTGAACAGGGTAATATTTAGTGAAGGGATTCAGGGAAACTGGTTATTTTTACATAGCTGGACTTGAGTCCAGGAAATGGGAAGTACAATGCCTGCACTTTAAAGGAGGGGTTTGGGATATTGGCAATATTTGGGATATTGTTGTGTATCTTTATACGTATATGCTTCTAAACTGTTGTATTCTGAGCACCTCTGCGAAAACAGTGATTATGTTTGAGTGAGGTGAAAGTGTTGAATGATGATGAAAGTATTTTCTTTTAGGGGATTTTCATTCTTTCTGAGTCACCCTACCTCGGTGGGAGACGGTTGACTTGTTAAAAAAAAAAAGTGATAAACCTGTGTGGGTCATTTTGCACTGTAAAGTGAGAGGAACTAAGCCTTACCAGCAGCTCCACCCACTCCCATCTACACTCCTCAGCAGCACATACACAAAAAAAGTATCCAAGCAACAAATATTCTAAAAATGTATACACTGTATTTATTTCAATATTTGTATGATTAAGTGGAAAAAATTTATGCATTGCCAATAGACGAGTCAAAACTTAATAGTGATAATGTAGAATATAGAATGAGTGCCCTATACTGTGGTAATACAGGAACTGCATTTATTTTTTTAATAAAATAAATACAATCAAAAAAGGTATAAATAACAGTATTCATACACCAAGTGATCTTACCTTCTTAACAGCAATGTGCTTCCAGGTTTCATAGCTCATCTGAGGATAACCTCGTTCTCCCATATCTTGTGAATACTGCAGCAACCGAGACAGCATCTAATAAATTGTGCACAACAGTTATAGAAAACAATATATACCCACAAATGATTAAATAAAATGTCTCCATTTCCATCTGTAATGTGTAGTTAACCTACAAATTACAGATTTTTGCTATACGGTAACAGCTCAGTTAAACGCATGTATAACAAACCTGATGCAATCAAACTAAGGCATTTCTTGACTCACAAAGTTGTAATGACATGATTGCAACAAATCATGCCATGCTGGCAGGAGATTCATCTGTAAAAACTTGCATTAGTGGTCACAGTGGTGCCTGTGCTAATCTCACTATGGTGTATAAATATACCTAGCTATATGAATTTTATTGTAACCAGCTGGCCCAGTGGCTTATGCGCTGGCCTGGAGTTTTACAACTCACTCGCCACAAGTTCAATCCCTGCCTGTGGTATGGTTTGTAAGGCATTTCTTCCCAATATAAAATATTAAAATAAATATTACTATGAAAAATCTAAAGTTCCATTATTGTCCTAATGGCAACTATAAAACCCCAAATTCATTACATAATATGACTGAGGTATAGTAGTATATGTATTTTTTTTTTTTTATTATCACACTGGCTGATTCCCACCAAGACAGGGTGGCCCGAAAAAGAAAAACTTTCACCATCATTTACTCCATCACTGTCTTGCCGGAAGGGTGCTTTACACTACAGTTTTTAAACTGCAACATTAACACCCCTCCTTCAGAGTGCAGGCACTGTACTTCCCATCTCCAGGACTCGAGTCCGGCCTGCCGGTTTCCCTGAACCCCTTCATAAATGTTATTTTGCTCACACTCCAACAGCATGTCAAGTATTAAAAACCATTTGTCTCCATTCACTCCTATCAAACACGCTCACGCATGCCTGCTGGAAGTCCAAGCCCCTCGCACACAAAACCTCCTTTACCCCCTCCCTCCAACCTTTCCTAGGCCGACCCCTACCCCGCCTTCCTTCCACTGCAGACTGATACACTCTTGAAGTCACTCTGTTTCGCTCCATTCTCTCTACATGTTCGAACCACCTCAACAACCCTTCCTCAGCCCTCTGGACAACAGTTTTGGTAATCCCGCACCTCCTCCTAACTTCCAAACTACGAATTCTCTGCATTATATTCACACCACACATTGCCCTCAGACATGACATCTCCACTGCCTCCAGCCTTCTTCTCGCTGCAACATTCATCACCCATGCTTCACACCCATATAAGAGCGTTGGTAAAACTATACTTTCATACATTCCCCTCTTTGCCTCCATGGACAAAGTTCTTTGTCTCCACAGACTCCTAAGTGCACCACTCACCCTTTTCCCCTCATCAATTCTATGATTCACCTCATCTTTCATAGACCCATCCGCTGACATGTCCACTCCCAAATATCAGAATACATTCACCTCCTCCATACTCTCTCCCTCCAATCTGATATCCAATCTTTCATCACCTAATCTTTTTGTTATTCTCATAACCTTACTCTTTCCTGTATTCACTTTTAATTTTCTTCTTTTGCACACCCTACCAAATTCATCCACCAATCTCTGCAACTTCTCTTCAGAATCTCCCAAGAGCACAGTGTCATCAGCAAAGAGCAACTGTGACAACTTCCACTTTATGTGTGATTCTTTATCTTTTAACTCCACGCCTCTTGCCAAGAACCTCGCATTTACTTCTCTTACAACCCCATCTATAAATATATTAAACAACCATGGTGACATCACACATCCTTGTCTAAGGCCTACTTTTACTGGGAAATAATTTCCCTCTTTCCTACATACTCTAACTTGAGCCTCACTATCCTCATAAAAACTCTTCACTGCTTTCAGTAACCTACCTCCTACACCATACACCTGCAACATCTGCCACATTGCCCCCTATCCACCCTGTCATACGCCTTTTCCAAATCCATAAATGCCACAAAGACCTCTTTAGCCTTATCTAAATACTGTTCACTTATATGTTTCACTGTAAACACCTGGTCCACACACCCCCCACCTTTCCTAAAGCCTCCTTGTTCATCTGCTATCCTATTCTCCGTCTTACTCTTAATTCTTTCAATAATAACTCTACCATACACTTTACCAGGTATACTCAACAGACTTATCCCCCTATAATTTTTGCACTCTCTTTTGTCCCCTTTGCCTTTATACAAAGGAACTATGCACGCTCTCTGCCAATCCCTAGGTACGTTACCCTCTTCCATACATTTATTAAATAATTGCACCAACCACTCCAAAACTATATCCCCACCTGCTTTTAACATTTCTATCTTTATTCCATCAATCCTGGCTGCCTTACCCCCTTTCATTCTACCTACTGCCTCACGAACTTCCCCCACACTCACAACTGGCTCTTCCTCACTCCTACAAGATGTTATTCCTCCTTGCCCTATACACGAAATCACAGCTTCCCTATCTTCATCAACATTTAACAATTCCTCAAAATATTCCCTCCATCTTCCCAATACCTCTAACTCTCCAGTTAATAACTCTCCTCTCCTATTTTTAACTGACAAATCCATTTGTTCTCTAGGCTTCCTTAACTTGTTAATCTCACTCCAAAACTTTTTCTTATTTTCAACAAAATTTGTTGATAACATCTCACCCACTCTTTCATTTGCTCTCTTTTTACATTGCTTCACCACTCTCTTAACCTCTTTCTTTTTCTCCATATACTCTTCCCTCCTTGCATCACTTCTACTTTGTAAAAACTTCTCATATGCTAACTTTTTCTCCCTTACTACTCTCTTTACATCATCATTCCACCAATAGCTCCTCTTCCCTCCCGCACCCACTTTCCTGTAACCACAAACTTCTGGAGTTTACCTGGAGAAGTTCCGGGAGTCAACGCCCCCGTGGCCCGGTCTGTGACCAGGCCTCCTGGTGGATCAGAGCCTATTCAACCAGGCTGTTGCTGCTGGCTGCACGCAAACCAACGTACGAGCCACAGCCCGGCTGGTCAGGAACCAACTTTAGGTGCTTGTCCAGTGCCAGCTTGAAGACTGCCAGGGGTCTGTTGGTAATCCCCCTTATGTATGCTGGGAGGCAGTTGAACAGTCTCGGGCCCCTGACACTTATTGTATGGTCTCTTAACGTGCTAGTGACACCCCTGCTTTTCATTGGGGGGATGTTGCATCGTCTGCCAAGTCTTTTGCTTTCGTAGTGAGTGATTTTCCTGTGCAAGTTCGGTACTAGTCCCTCTAGGATTTTCCAGGCGTATATAATCATGTATCTCTCCCGCCTGCGTTCCAGGGAATACAGGTTTAGGAACCTCAAGCGCTCCCAGTAATTGAGGTGTTTTATCTCCGTTATGCGCGCCGTGAAGGTTCTCTGTACATTTTCTAGGTCAGCAATTTCACCTGCCTTGAAAGGTGCTGTTAGTGTGCAACAATATTCCAGCCTAGATAGAACAAGTGACCTGAAGAGTGTCATCATGGGCTTGGCCTCCCTAGTTTTGAAGGTTCTCATTATCCATCCTGTCATTTTTCTAGCAGATGCTGAACACTCTAACACTACATTTTTAAACCTACCCCATACCTCTTCGACCCCATTGCCTATGCTCTCATTAGCCCATCTATCCTCCAATAGCTGTTTATATCTTACCCTAACTGCCTCCTCTTTTAATTTATACACCTTCACCTCTCTCTTCCCTGATGCTTCTATTCTCCTTGTATCCCATCTACCTTTTACTCTCAGTGTAGCTACAACTAGAAAGTGATCTGATATATCTGTGGCCCCTCTATAAACATGTACATCCTGAAGTCTACTCAACAGTCTTTTATCTACCAATACATAATCCAACAAACTACTGTCATTTCGCCCCACATCATATCTTGTATACTTATTTATTCTCTTTTTCTTAAAATATGTATTACCTATAACTAAACCCCTTTCTATACAAAGTTCAATCAAAGGGCTCCCATTATCATTTACACCTGGCACCCCAAACTTACCTACCACACCCTCTCTAAAAGTTTCTCCTACTTTAGCATTCAGATCCCCTACCACAATTACTCTCTCACTTGGTTCAAAGGCTCCTGTACATTCACTTAACATCTCCCAAAATCTCTCTCTCTCCTCTACATTCCTCTCTTCTCCAGGTGCATATACGCTTATTATGACCCACTTTTCGCATCCAACCTTTACTTTAATCCACATAATTCTTGAATTTACACATTCATATTCTCTTTTCTCCTTCTATAACTGATCCTTCAACATTACTGCTACCCCTTCCTTTGCTCTAACTCTCTCAGATACTCCAGATTTAATCCCATTTATTTCCCCCCACTGAAACTCCCCTACCCCCTTCAGTTTTGTATGTATGTGTGCATCAAATTCAAAATAACTTAGGCTTTATGCTGTAGCAATGTTCATAAAACACTGCCAAAGATAATCAAAACTATATAATGTATCTGTACATCAAGGAAAAATACTTTCTGCAGTGAGATGAAGTGTTAATCTTTTGAACTATAATCTTAATTCAAGACTTTTCCCAGTCTGACCAAAATAAACTTCACATTTTTTACAGGGAATCTTGCAGGCACAGCCGTCAGCATTTTTGGGGGAATATTTTTTATCAAAAGTCTTTCATTGCATGAGCATATTGCATATATTATGTATCAGTTGGCAAGGCTGCTACTAGGAAGCTACAACAACTAAACACAATTTACATATTTTACAGCAATAAACTACCGCAATCAAAAGACATATATGGAGTATTAATAAAAATAATAAGAACAACAACAATAATAAATAATAATAATAATAATAATAATAATAATAATAATAATAATAATAATAGGAGGGGTGTAAATGTTGCAGTTTAAAAACTGTAGTGTAAAGCACCCTTCTGGCAAGACAGTGATGGAGTGAATGATGGTGAAAGTTTTTCTTTTTCGGGCCACCCTGCCTTGGTGGGAATCGGCCAGTGTGATAATAAAAAAAAATAAAAAAATAATAATAATGTTAAAAAGTGATGCAACTCATGGAGAATGCATGTTTATTAGTA